ATTATGGGATTAAGACTGAAGCATGCTTTTGGTTTCGGGTCTCTTATTGCTGTATACTCTCTTAGCAATGTTTGCAACCTCAATGTGAAAGAAGCATTCTATGCCAAACTCACATCTGTGGCAGATATCTGGCTCCTGGTATCAGCACTCTAACCTGCATCATTGACATGATATAACAATATGAGTACTGTGGTCAAGGAGATCGACCATATTCTTGCCACCACTTGCTGGATACTTCAGAAATACGGGTTTTACCGGAGTGCTGAGTTCTGTGGCACTGACCATAGGCTGGCAGTGGCTACTCTATGGGTCCACTTCAAAACTCTTCGTCCCTCCAGTGACCATTCTAGGGTGTTTCACTTAGACAGATTGAGGGATGAGGAGTGTGCCCCAGGGTTTGCTATGGCAGTCTGTGATCGATTCACAGAACTTGAAAACCTGATGGACCCAGTTGCTCTGTGGGAGTCCTTCAAGTGTGAAACATTCAAAGCAGTGCAGGAGTCCACAGGTGTATGCCTGAGAGCAAGGCAGAATTTCATCTCCCTGGAAACATTGGAGGCCACTGTCGCATAGCTCAGCTGAATGGCAATCAGGACTTGTGCTATTCCTTGTTGTGTTGGGCTTAGATACTTCTGAGAAGGGACAAGGAACAGTTCATTAGGAATCTTGCTGAGGTGGTTAAAGGCCATTTCTTAGTGGATGGACAGATCATCTCAGATCATGTTGGGTTTTGTGAACAACAAAAATAGTATTTTGAACAACTGTACCAGGTTTTCCTGGCCTTTGGAGTTTTTTTCCATTGAGAAGGCATTTGTTAAAAAGATTGGCTTGTTTCACTGTTGCAATTTCTCCTGCATCTATTGTAAGGTCTCTGTCTTCACCTGTTTTTTTTTTACCTCTCTTCACGCCTTTAAGTAATCTTTTTATTTCTTGTTTTGATGTTAGGTACATCTCTAGTTACCGCGTTCGCTTCTATCCGTGGCTGTTCATTTGAGTTGTATAGATCCCTGTAAGAGTCTTCCATTACTCTTATGCTTTCACTTCTCCATCTGGTTTCTTTACTGCATACATTTGATTTCTCCCTATTCAGTCTCCTTTTAGCTGTTTTCATTCTGGTTCCTGAGATCAGTTTCATTTATTATTTGAGAATTGTATTTCTGTACATCTTTGTTAGTTCAGCTAATTCTATTTCGTCCCTGTTTGACAATACTTTCATGACCCAACGTTTTTATATAAGCTGTTTAGTTTCTACTGAGAGCTTGCTGGGGCTTTGCTTGATGTTCTTACCGCCTACTTCAAGTGCAGCTTCCTTTATTATGTAATTGAACTGTTTGTTAATTTGGTCAATGTGGATCTTCGTTGCTGAGAAGTGATTATCTGTTTTGGATGTTAAGGTTTAATTCTGTTCCTATGGTCTTTAAGTTACCTAAATTTGGCTGCATTTATATGAGTTTATTCCTTTCTCTTCTGGGGTATAATTTAATTTGGCCTCTGACCATTCTATGGTCGCAGCCAACATTTTAGTTTATTAATAACTTCCACTGTTGGAACTTATGAAGTCAGTTTCGTTTTTGATATCAGATGGCTACTTCCTTGCCCATGTTTTTTTTTCTTTCTTTTCATGATATGGAGTGATCGAGCCTCCGCAAAATCGGTTACTATTTGTACCTCCCATTCCTAGCACCTTTTCCGTAATTCCCCACTGCAGTTTCTCCTTTGGGCATTAAAATCTCCCATAATTATTGCGAAATGAACATATTCATAGAAACTCTCTATTTCTTCACTGTGGTCGCGGGTTAGAGCATAGACTTGAACAATCTTTAAGTTGTACCTATTGTTTAGTTTTATTGATACTAAAGCCACTCTTTCGCTTATACTATAAAATTCTAAGATATTCTTTTCTAAACGTTTGTGAAATAAAAAACCTACCCCTAATTCCCGCTTGCTACTCTATCCAATAGAGGATGTGTCCATCATTTAGTATCTTCTAGAATGCCCGTCACTATTCTTTTAACTTCACAATCCTACAACATCCCATTCAATGGAAGAGAGTTCCTCAAGTAATGCTATTAAGCCGGATTCAGTTCTCATTGTCCTCATATTATATGTGCGAAAGTTCATCAACGTAGGGCGGCCTGTTTTTAATGGAGCTCTTAAGAACCCTCTGCTCCTGAGCGATCCTGATCACCGCCGTAACCAGGGGCTCCTCCGGGGGATGAGGGCCGTTACTCTGTTTGTGCAGTCATGGATCTGATTGAGAGGTAGACAGCCGAGTTACCCCCACCTACTGGCTTAGGTGTATCTTGGTGGTGGGGGAGTAGTTTAGCCGGGATACCACTGATAAGCCCCTCCAGCAGGGTTGCCCTGTCTAGTCTGGACTTACGAGCAGCACTACAGCAATGGGCTTGGGTATCAGAAGTTTTATACATTTCATTTATGTGTATGTATGCCTGGTGCAAATGCATATGTTCATTTTCATGCACTTGCACGTGTAAGCATACACCTTTATACCTTTTCCTATGCATATGATATGCATACATACTCCTACATTATAGACAACTACACACATGCACACGCATACACATATATAGACATGCGTACATCATATATGCATACATATGTGTATATACACCCACATATATGCAAACACACACATGCGCACATATTTTGTACACATACTTACATGTACACATACACATATAGATATAGCTGAACATATGCTTATGCGCACGAGTATGCACACATTAGTGTTCACCTATATACATATGTATACACCTGTACATGCACATATATATATACATATTTACATGCGCGCACACACACACACACACACACACACACACACACACACACACACACACACACACACACACACACACACACACACACATATATATACATATATACATACACATGCACACATATACACATGCATACACATTGTGATATCCATTAAACAGTGGAACACAGGTTTAGCTCTAGGTTCTAGAATAACACCATATGTGTTCTGCCTAACAGACAGTCCTTGGTCGGAAAAATGTCAGGGAACTGGTCTAACAACTTGCATAGAATCTCCTTACCCGCGCTAAATGCGAATGGTCCCTGCATAGTCTTTGCTAATGCTACAGTGAATGGGTCAGCTAAATCGGGGGACATGAAAGAAACAGCGCCAGAGAATGCTGACGCAGGCAGTTCATATTCGGTTATCAGGATATCCGTGACATCTCAATCTGTTAACCTAACACCACTATGAATAGACAAAGGGGCAGGTGTTAACTTCATCACATGGACTTGTGCACTCCCCTCCAGCAAGGTATATAGAGAGATTGTGGGAGAAGGGAGAAGGGAGAGTGATGTGTCCGTGTGTGTAGTCGTGTTTGATGGGTGACATGGTCTGTAGACGTTTCCCTCTTTGTATTAGATGTGGAACCAAGCATGCTTAGGTGAAAAGGGTCTAGGTGTTTTCACATGGAACGTGGCTCACTTAGCTTATAAAACTGACCCTGAATTTCCACCTCATTCTGCTACGGTCGCAGAACCATACCTGAATGATATAGGAAATCATGGCCAAGAAGCAAGTAGCCGGGGAAGTGCCCGTCACTATGAGGAAAAATGATATTTCCAAACCTCAATGTCACATACGTAGTTCCAACTACACCTAGCTTAGATCCTGTCACACCTTTAACATACACATTGGCTGGCGATACCTCAGACGAGAGCCGAAAGTCCTCTAACACTCATTCACTCACGAGACTGCGCAACTTTCTGTATCAAAGGTAAAATAGGGGGCCCCGTTTCTGTGTTCGGTATACTAGTACTAACAACACGAGACCGAGATGACGCAACTGCACCAGAGCCCAATGCACTTCCTCTCCTGGTTCGAAACGTGCCATCTCTTCCACTAAAAAATAATCACCTGTTTATTATAAGCTCCTTCCCTGTTTATTGTCGTGGTGAATTCATAGGTGATCGCCACCTGATCCGGGATCCATGTGCACTCATTAAAAGCATGACCCTGCCTATTATAGCATGGACAGAATTGCCTAACAGAGCACCCAGACGGACGATGCATCCTCAAGCATCGACTCTGCCCAGGTTTCAGTGTCCAGTTAGCCACGTGTGGTCGTGGTTTATTATGGGCAGCTACCGAGGGAGAAGGCGCTGCAAAGTACTGCGCTCCAGAGGGATGCTCCGGATACTCACGGGAGAGTGGGGCAAGGGGGTTTACTCTGCGCAGCGGTATGCGTGCGCGGGCGAGTAACGTCTATTTCCTGCCTTCGTCCGCACCGGCGGTTCCCGCCGCGGTTTACTCTGCCACAAGCTGATATATTTATGATTATTTCCCTTGTTTTTCCCTGATCTAACTGCATTTGCAACCACCTGTACATTTTCACCCCTATCTAACATTCCATTCGCGAGGACTTCAAGAAGCTCATTGAATGAAGCACTGTCAGCTTTATCACAAAATCATTTGGGCACAGCCAGATAGATAGAAGACAGTAACCACGCTTTTGCAAAATGTTCCAGAACCGCCGCGTGCGATGCGCTCTGAATAACATATTGCTTCAGACACACCGAAGCATCTGAGACCGGGATAGACTACGCCCACTACAGCTTTACACGAAATTTATTTAAGTAAGATGAAAGATCATCCTTTGAAAAGGAAGTAGGTTTGGCCTCTAATAACTCCACCAGCTGTAAATGGTGATTCTCCATCTGCCTCAAAAATGCTGTAGTGAAAAACTCTAACATTCCAAACGACTTACAAGAATCTAGCGGGAATTTCGTGGTTGAGTCACTGGCCACCACGAGGCACGATGTAGCAAAATGCTCAGACTCCCGCCTAACCCCTGAATGGATTACTGTGTCTCCCACATCCGCAAAGAATTGGTCAACAGAGATGTTAGATCCTGAGTATTTTGACGCCAAATTGTACATCGTGGGAGCCTTGCCGGGACCTATGCTTGACGCAGCCGTAACAATAGTGAGTTTAGAGGAGG